GCCTAATATCCATTATATACAGGGAACTCAAGAAACTAATCCCTCCCAAATCTAACAAACCAATCATTAAATGGACAAGGGAGGTAAAGAGAGACTTCTCAGAAGAAGAGACAGAAATGGTTAGGAAATACATGAGGAAATGTTCATCACTCCTGGCTGTAAAGGAAATGCAAATAAAAACAACCCCAAGATACCACCTTACCCCAGTCAGAATGGCCCACATCATAAAGTCAGCCAATGACAAATGCTGGTAGGGATGCGGAGAAAGAGGAACCCTATTGAATTGCTGGTGGGAATGTATACTTACACAACCACTTTGGAAAGCAGTCTGGAGGTATCTTAGAAAGCTAAATATAGACCTCCCCTAAGACCCAGCCTTACCACTCCTAGGCATCTACCCTGAGCAACAGGAACCAGAATACAAGGACACAGGCACCCACATGTTCATTGTAGGACTGTTCCCAATAACCAAGATATGGAAACAATCCAGATGCCCCACTACAGATGAATGGAGCCAAAAATTGTGAGTAATTATATACAATGGAATATTATGCAGCCATTAGAAAGGACAAAATAATGGTATTTGCAGAGAAATGGATGGAACTAGAAAAAATCATTTTGAGTAAGGTAAGCCAAGAGCAGAGAGGCAAATGGCCCATGGTCTCCCTAAGTGAATGTTAATTCCAAAATGTAAGAAGATATGACAAAATAAATAGGACTTGAGAAACAAAGGACCTTCATTCATCTTGTCGTATCATTTCTAAATGACCCATGTTCTTGACCACATAATATGTGTGTGTGTATGTGTGTGTGTGTATACACATTTATATATGCGCACATCTGAGGGAAGATAGGGGGATGACACAGAAGCAGAAGGAAACGGGAAAATATACAACAGAGAGGCCCATCAGCTGCACTGGACATTGATAAAAATGAATGAAGCAACTCAAGGGCAGCGATGGGAGGGAGGGAATGAGAGAGAAAAAGGGAACGGCTTACACTTAGCAAAAGGAAAGAAATGTACATATCACCTGATGTGGAAGAAATAGTTGTATTGTCAAAGCTCAAAGCTTCATTTTATACTTAGGGAAACTGAGGCACAAAGCATTTCAGTCAGTTGCTTATTTTACTGGGCTAGTAAACCTCAAAGCTGAGGTGATTATGTACAGGTGAGTGGGACCCAGAGATCATAGTCTGGATAATGGGTACTGCCTTTGTCTGATGCTGGATACCAATGGCCAAGCAGCAAAATCAGAAAAGCCATCATTGGCTGGGTGACTTATACAGACAACAGGAAAGCCTGTCAATACGCTCCTCAAGAAACACACCTCATGAGGCTATCAGGAGGAGAGAGGATGAGAAAGGGAACTAGCAGAAAAAAAAATGATCAAAGCAAATTTCAAGTATAAAATATATCATAATGAGCCGAAGTCCCTCATGCCTATTATCCAAACTATTCAGGAGGGCAAGATCCCAAGACTGAGGTTTGAAGTCAGACTGAGCAGACAAATCTGAGACTCTCAACTCCAACTAACTAGCAAAAAGTTGAAAGTAGAGGTGTGGTTCAAGTGGTAGTGTGCAAGTCTTTTGGGAAAAAGCTAACCATGAATGTGAGGCCCTGAGTTCAAACCCTAGTATTAGCAAAAAAAGTCACACAAAACCATTGCTTTGTACAGCTAATCTATACTAATAAAAATATTTAAATAAACACGCCTCACTTCTCACAACTGAGAATCACTTCTGCACAGCCCTAACACAGTACTTAAACTGTATCTCCCCATCTCCCTTCCTTCCAACTTACTTCCTGTCTCTACATTCCATTACCTTGTCCTACTGCCATTACCCAGATTTCTACAGGCCACTGTGAAGGGTCTGTAGGTCAAAATGTCTCCTAGCTTCATTCCTTAACCTCACCATGCTTTCAGCTATGTACTATATCCCTCTCGGGACAAGCAGAGCCTAAAATATTATGATGAGTGATGAATACGTGTTCTCCAAGTGAGGTGTCTAGCTGGTAATTAAACAGTATTAATTCTATCAGCTTTGATTTACATTCTGCACTCTCAGTAATAAGGCACAGTATTCTCTTTTCTTTCTGCCTAGCGCCAAGTAATAGAATTGGTGCTTACGGATTATCATATAAATCTACTTTTTGGTCAGTCAGTGTCAGGGAATTTTTTTTCAATATATTACAAATGTAATCATTATTCCCTAGCTCGTAAAAAAATAATTAAAATCTACAGGCCAAATACAAAGTCCCAGAACACAAAACCTTGACTGGTGTTCCACTGCCAAATACCAAGGTTGCCAGCCTCTTGTTTTCCATCCAGCTCACTTAATGAGAAGTTGAACCCTTCATTCACTAAAAGGCTTAGGTGGGCAATTTCTCCTGGTGTTCTCCAGGGTTTGCACATCAAAGATGAGAATGGTCCCCTGTCATATTATATATGTTTTCAGCAATTCAGAAAACACTTGCCCTAAAATAAAAACTATTGTTAGAAAACAAGTTTCTTAAAAGTGATTCCCAGGGTATAAATAATATGGGTTCACATTGTCAAAAAAATATTTTTTAAGTAAAACAAGCAAGAAGGAAATAAAGAAGAAATGCAAGTAGTTCTAATTCATCATTGTGATATCCAAGTTTCCCCTTAGATAAAACAAACATAAAACATGTGCTTTACAACCCCCTAGTGACCTTCAAGACAGCTAAGTACAGTATCTATGGATTTTTAAGTATAATTAACAACTCCTCTTTTTCCATTTTAAAGAATTCATGCTGTGTTTCCTTGACAGACTCAAGCCAATCAATCTTGTTCTCAAATGTTAATACAAGCAATTAAAAATAGCATTAATTGAAATACTACAGGGGCTGTTAGATTTAAGGATGGGGAGGGTTTTTTGGTATTTTTTTAAATTTTGCTTCTTTGTTTCTTTGGGTTTTTTCCCCTGCCCCTTCACTTCATGCCAATACTAATTTACTGGACTAATTAGGGAAATACCCTCTGTGTGATCTCTCTCTGTGATGCACTTGGTCTCTGAGACCCACTAGAGCACTGCAGGAGGCAAAGGGACTGAGAGGAAGCTCAGGTGTCAGTACTGAGAAAGTTTATTTCACCTGGTAGGCCAAATGTGACAGATTGTTTTATTTACAATCTGAATACCAATTTTCTGGTTTTGGTAACAAAAATACAGCACTCATTTGTATTGTTGTAAAACTTGTAAATACGCCCTGTAGGAGAAGTAATCCTCAAAGCAGCATCCTAATTAAAAGGAAAACCAGTGTCTCACAATAATATACAAATGCATATAAATTGCAAATAAGATACATGGTTAAAAGTGAATAAAGAAGATAGGCTGGATAGGAGAAGAAGGAATCAGATTTCGAAATGTGCTTCTTTAAATGAACAGAAATTGTAAGATAATGTCTCACTGAACAATAAAAATAACAAACCAGTAGCAAAGATATAATAGAGTTTTCTGAGTATACCATTCTAATCTTAATATAATTTTCCCCTGTGCATTCATGTTCATTGAACTACTATGGCCATTTCTTAAGTTACAGGGAGTATGTTCTTGGCGGTAAATAATTCTCTGATAATGAACATGAAAATGATCCAGAAACTGATGACAGGTTTTAAAAGAAACGATGACACGGCATCTGCTCAGGAACCAAGTCTTATAAGAATGTTAAGAATGGGCAGGTTCCTGGGGAAGCAGAATGAGAATGCAGAAAGCCATCTTCCTCACAGCCTTCTGATTCGTCAGCTTCACTGCTGGTTTCCTTGTTCCTCTCCTCAACAATGACAGCGGACTCTTCCAGCACCCCAAGCTGTCGGAGCTCCAGATGAGATGGCTGAGGGCAAGCCTGTCAGATCTAGTTAACAAATTCTCATGTGACTTGAGAAAGATGCCTGTCCAGCCTCAAGTTTCTCAGTGGAACAACAATACTTACTTCTGAGCTTCAAGCTTGAGTGCTGAGTAAATACTCCTTGCGTATGTGAAATGGTTCTCTACATGTACAAGAAGTGTGCCAGAGGGGAAAACAGAATCCAGAGGGAATCTATGTCCACTACTCACCCTTACTCAATCAAACTTCGAACTCCAGTCAACCCTGTACACATCCCAGACATTTCAACACCAATGTAATAAATTCTACTTTTGCTAACATGTTTGTTGGTCATGTAATTCATGGGTTTATTTCATGGGACTCTAAATTCTAAGTTAAAGAAATACTTATAGAGACCAAGCTGCTGTCATCACTGGTGCTTTTATTTGGGTGTTATCCTGAAATTGCAATCTATTATTTGCTAAAGATCAACACTCAAATACTTTCTCTGTCATTTAAAGATCTACTGCATTTTATTATTTTCTACAATTCTTTAGGTAAGGGGAAGAGACTTTTGTTCGAACACAAAATACACAGCAAATACAGTTATAAATGTTTTATTAAATATGAATTAGCAATTGAGTCCTTTGTTTAGAATAATCATAACTACATAACTATATAATTTGGCTTTTGAATCTGGTTTTTTATGTTAAATAGTAGGAAAAATGGATCACATTTTTATGGATGTACTAAGAACAATAGCTATGTAATCAGAATCAGTAGACTCATAAAAGTAGTATTGTAGGGTTGGGAAGATAGCTCAGTGGGAGAGTGCTTGCTTGCATGCATGAGGTACTGGGTTCGATTCCTCAGCACAACATAAGCAGAAAAGGTCAGAAGTGGCACCGTGGTTCAAGTGGTAGAGCGCTAGCCTTGAGCTGAAGAGCTGAGGGACAGCACCCAGGCCGAGTTCAGGCCCCATGGCCAACACACACACACACAAAAGTAAGTGGTATTGTAGTAATAAATGTTCTGCTGTTATAGTTGCAAATCATAACCATACTGCTCTGTAAACCTAGTATTATCTCTTTCTAGAAAAATTTTGGAGGGCTTGAAGTTTTCAGATCGACCTGATTTTTAATAGCACAATCACTTTCAGATGCTCTATTCCATTAAGAAAATCTGATTGATCAAGTTAGAAATAAAGGCCATTGTTAATTCATTCACAGACTTTGTATACTGAGATTTTGTAATCACAGATCAGTCAATTGAGAGGCAACTTGGAGTTGTAAAAGATCATCACCAAAGTATATTTCTTTTCCAGATACAGAAGCTCCTTTACCAGGTGACATTTTCCAGGCATCCTCTCTAGAGAGGTCCTTCTAGGCCATTGTTTCTGATGATCTTCGCATACTCTCTGGCTGTTCTGTAGGGGACTCGAGGTCTAGCAGGGTCTTCAAAATCAACGTGGAAGAGGCCAAATCGTCTGCTGTACCCATTGTTCCACTCAAAGTTATCCAGAAGAGACCACACAAAATATGCTTGAAGACTGACTCCATCAACATGGATGGCTGAAAGATTTTTAAAAGAGAAATTACCTTCCTGAGGAAGTTTTGTGAGAACAAAGTCAACAACACTGATGAGCACTGGTGGTCACTTTCTCCTACTCTGTTGGGAACTACAGTGGAAACACAGCAACCTACTCTCCATTTGCTTTTCCACATGTAACACCAAATAGCATGGGAGGTGATGCATACGTTAATTGGTCTGATATAGTCATTCCACTGAGTACACTTACATCTTCCAGTGAGCATCATGTGGTATAGTATCATGTGGTATACTTTTTTGGTTGTGGGACTTGAACTCTGGACCTGGGCGCTGTCCCTGCACTCTTCAGCTCAAGGCTAGCACTCTACCACTTGAGCCACAGAGCCACTTCCGGTTTTCTGGTGGTTTAATAGATATAAGTGTTTCACAGACTTTCCTGCCAGAGCTGGCTTTGAACCATGATCCTCAGATCTCAGCCTCCTGAGTAACTAGTATTACAGGCGTGAGCCACTGGTGCCGGCAAATACACAATTTTTATTTGCCAGGTAAACAATCTCCTTTCCCATCTTCCAGCTTAAACAACTATTTTATTCTAGTTATGTGGTAATTCATTTATTTTTGGCATTTATTTTATTTATTAAATCATTAATTCAAGGGTACGCATACTCACACACACATATTTTTCCCTAGTGTTCAGTAAAGACACCACCTAACATCTCAATACACGAACCAATAGCTCAAAAATACCATGTGTAAAAGGAAAGATGCAGCAGCAGCATGACTAGATTTTTACCTTCTTTCCCCAAGACCAAGCTGATATGTCTTACAGAACTGCAAAATAAAAAAGGGTCTACACACATCTCTGGCTATGCCTGTACTCTAGATTAGGTAAACATCTTGTTTTATTCTCTTGGGATGCCATAACACAATAGCATAGACTGGGTGATTTATAAAACAAAGAAACATATTCTTCATCGTTCATTCATAAGGCTAGGAAGTCCTAAGTCAAGGTGGTAGCAGATTCCTTTGTGCAGAATCATATCCTGGTTTGTTGAAGGTTAAACTTGTGTTCTCCTGTGGCATAGAAAGTGAGAGAGCTGTTTCTTATCTCTTCACATATGATCTTGATCCCATTCATGATGATTCTCTCTTTGTGACCTAATTACCTTCCAAAGACCCCATCTCCCAATACCAACAGGAGGCTAGGATAACAACATGCGTTTTGGTAAAAAGCCAGCATTCATTCCATAGCACATTCCATATGCCCTATAACTAAATTAAGTACTTAAACCCTTTAACATTTAACTGTTATCCCAGCAACTTTGTCAGATTATGATTTGAGGCCAGTTCAGGGAAAAAAATGAGTGAGATATTCAGTTCAGTCGATATGCCCCGTGTAGTGGCACATGTCTGTATCCCAGATATGGAAAACAAATATGAGCCAGAACAAACAAACAACAACAACAAATGTGAAGCCCTATCTAAAAAACAATGAAAGCAAAATAGGATTGGAGGTGTAGCTCAAGTGGTAGGCAGAGTGTCTACTTAGCAAACAACAAGCAAGAAGCCCTGAGTTCAAAGCCTAGCACTACAAAAGAAAAGAAAAGGAAAGAACCAAAGAAATGGATCATTTCCTGCAAAATTGAACAAATGCAATATTCTAAATAATTTCATTTGTGGATGCCTCAAAGCTCATCCATACACTCCATGTGAAGACACCAAAGTGTAGAGAATTCTCTAAATAATTTTACAATGATTTTCACTCTTCTAGTCAGGGAATTGAGCTTGTTTTTATTAGCAATTTAAGTTCAGCAAAACTCTGAGGTTGAGTGATTCTTTGCATTGAACATTTTCTTTTTTAAAACCAGAATAAATAAATCCAATCTATGGGATGCTCTAATACCCAGTCCTCAGTGCCAAAATCAAGTGAAAAGCAGGTTTGTTTTAGCCGAGGGTAATATCCCCAAATAAGCTGAGTGCAGTAAACATTTATGTAATAAATCAAATTGTAATCCTGCTTGGGATTGTTTTCAACCAAGATGACTCCTGCAGCTAAACATTCTGCAAGGTAAGATAGACTCCAATTTTTCTTTGGTATCAATCTATATTTTTCAGGTCTTTTAAAAGTGCTAAAATTAGAGCCACATTCTGCATTCAGCCATTTCCAAATACTTCTGCAACTTTTCTTGGTGGCTGTGGATAATCTGTAGGCAAAAAGGTCCTGACTGGTTAGCTGACACATAATCCTCTGCACTGGTATGGAGAGACAAGCAAAGCCATTTGCGTAGAGAGTACCTTACAAAAATGTCCTCAGAGAGAAATTAAACCAAGCTGGATCTGCTCATTTTAAATCAAACGTTCTTATGAAATGAAAAATACTGTAGTCAATACATTAAGCTTTGTAGGAATAAAACTATGTGCAAGATATTCTGTCTCCGGTCCATTCACATTTGTATGTGTGTCTCCTCCTTCTCCCCATACTTTCTCTATCAGCTATCATCTGAAAAACAGAAATTTTCTTTTAATTATTTCTTCTTAGTAACCTAATATAAGAATGGCATATCTCTGAGTATCAAAATAACCAAAGCCAAATAACAGATTCAAAAGCAATCACCTCCCTTGCTCTATACTTCAATCAGAGAGTATGTGTGAATCTGCATACTCTTTTTCCCACTTGCAGAACTACTGCCCAACAAGAAAGCCTGCCAGGTATAAAGCCAGACAGCATCTGAAAACACACACAGTCCCCACTGATCATGTACAAAAGGATTGATTCATGTGGAAACCAGCGGATAAAAATGAGGCCCTGCCTGCTTGGAGGGGAACAAAAAGGAAACCTTGACAATTTCATTGTTCACTGCCAGCAGTTCAGCAGCAAGCACTAGCCTCCCTGAGCGAGGGCTGGTGGATGCCCCCACATGCTCACTGCAGGGACATTCCGGTAGAGATCTACCTAGCTAGTGCTGAGGAACTATCCTGCTAGAATCCTTCTTGCTGTGCCTTCATGAGGAAAAAATTGCAAAACCACACTGGAACTTGCACGCCTCTCCTCTTCCAATCTCCTCAGGAGCAGCAAGAGACTATCATCACATTTCTTGTCATCATGATTTATGAGGTCCCAAATCTTGGCAGGGGGAAGACTCTTCTGAGAGCTCACTTTCTTTCTTTAACCAGAGTTAGAGGCAAAGTCAGCCTAGACCAACAGGACTTCGGATGGGGACACAGGTTGCAAGGATGAAAAATAGTACCCATCATAGAGACTGTATGTGAATTTGGACCTCAAGGCTATGGGAAGGGTCTAACAGTAGGTTGGGTGAAAAGACACAAGAAGAAAAATTGTTAAGCCTCATTCCAGTTAGGCTGTTTTGATTAAAGGCTTCCATAAAGTCTACATAGTCCTACACAGGCATGCACACACACAAAAACCATCACAATAGCATGTACATATAGGCAGTCTGCACAGAGAGAGCCAAAATAAAAAAGACTGAGGACACAACCTTAACCATGAGACCACTTTCGCATCTCACAAGAGCTAGTTCAAGGGGCTTGCAAAGCCGCTTCCATTTAGTAACTTACTGGAATTCATAGAACTCACTGGCAGATGATATGGTCCTAGTTATAGGTAGTACAAGAAAAGACTGCCAATTCTACCACCCAAGAAAGAGAGGCATAGGAAAGAGTGTGAGAAATTCTAGACAAAAAGCTTTGGTTGTCCATTCTTCACGAATCAGGACACATGGCCCTTCTGGTATTAACATGGAACAACAGATACCAAGTACTGTCAGCCCAGAAGCACAGCTGAACTTCAGTGTCCAGAGTTTTTGCTACATTTCAAAAGACTGGTCATCTAACATTCATCTATGTGAATGAAGTTAGTTTCCTAGTCAGCCTATACCAGGTTACCTGAAACTCTCACATCAAACCACGTGATTATTCTTTCTAATGTGGAGAGATCCCATCCAAACAGACATCCTTACCAAGTAAGGGTAAGAAGCTGAAAGCAATGGCCAAAAATTCTTACGGCAAAAGCAAATTTTTACTGTCTCTGTTTTCATATGGAAACACACATTGTTAAAAGAAATTTATTATTTCTTAATACTAGGAACAGTCTTCTCAGGTACTGGTTTATGGGACTATAATTGGTGTTTATCAAACTAAAAAAGGGTCCAGAAATTAAGAGTTCAGTATCACCGAGATTTATTTCCTACAATTTATTTTTTTAAAAGAGACTGAGATATCATTTGTTTCCAGGAATTGTCTAAGACTTACAGATGCTATCCATGAATGTGGCAAAACTATGACATTATCAAACGAACATGAATCCACAGACCTAAGCTCCCATGACAAGAATCAGTGAAGAGGTACAGGACAAGTACAAAAGACAGCAGCCTCACAAAAGAAACTGGAGGGCAATAAAGCACCAGAATTGAGTCAGAAGCAAAACTAAGGATTCTCGACTTCTATGCTCAGGTAATGGCAGGCTACATTATCCCAGCGAATCCTTCCGAGGAAAAGAAGCAAAACTCACTGAATACAAGTTTTGAATGAAACTTTTCAAAACGATTGCAAGCTGACAATGACATAGAAATTTCCAGATCAAAATGAAAGTGGAAAATAAAACTGTTAGATATGGCAAGTACTCTTGCCTGATAGAATTTTCCAGTCTGAAGACATCTGAGCACGTTTCAGATTTCTGAGATGAGGGTAAGTGTGAAAAGTTAGATGTAATGTCCAGGAATGATGTCCAGCTTGAGACCCCCCTGCGACAAGAAAACTTAGATCAAAAAGACTGAACTGTCAGGGTAGAGGTGAGAGTAGCAAGAAGCAAACTTAGCCATTGGGAAGTGAAGTATTCAGTTCAGTCCTGATGACACCTTAATTGTGGATTTCTGGGCTTTACAACTGTGAGAAAATATTTTGTCTGTTGCCTTAAGTCACAAGGTTTGCACTAATTTGTTACGGCAGCCACAGGAAACTAATGCACCGTGCTCTTTCTGAGTGGTTGCCAATTGGACTCTGAGTC